AGAAGCTTCTTTTTGCATGCCTGGTCATTTCATTTTGATGCCTCTGTAAGTTTACTTTGTTGAGTACTGGATATTTTTGATTTCCTATAAGTGTTCTTTATTCTGGATTTCTCTTTGAAATAGTTTGAACCTTTTGGGGGCTGACTGTTATGATTTGTTAACTAGGATCAGAGTAGCACTTATTGCTAATCTGACACACGGTTAATTTTGTCCTGCTACTGAGGCAAGACCATTTGCATCATGAATTATGAGGGTTTTTTTCCCAGCCGAAATACCAGGTTGGGCACTATTCGTGGTCCTGTATGATCACTGAGTATCTTTATGCTCTGACTTGTGGAAACAGGAATAATTCCCTGCTTTGTGTAAGCTTTGGCAATAGTTCTCTCTTCTCATTTATATGTTCTTCCCTGGCCTATATGCTAGTCAGCTAAAGGCTGGAGCAAAGTCTGCACATCTCCATGGTTCCTTCTCTCTTTTTCTTCTCTGATACTCTACTTCCAGCTTCAGCTGCTATAGCCTGCCTGGTCTCCCAGTTCCATCTCCTTAATTGAAGGAGGTTTTCCTGGACTCTCCTCTCTGCAGCCTGGAAACTGTCTAGGTGATAAATCAAGGCAATCATAGGATTCAGCTTACTTGTTTCCCTTCCCTTAGGGACTGTGGTCTCAAACAGATCCATGATGCCTAATGTTTGAAAGCCATTGTTTTATATTTACCTGTTTGGTTTGTTTTTTTTTTGTTGTTTTAGGCAGGAAAATAAATTTAGTCCTGCTGCTCCATATTGGCCGGCTAGACTAGATTACAATAAAATTATTGTTCTGTTGATAAAATAGATTGCTGAGGGTGTCACCTGTTTCCAAAACAATTCTCATTAAGTAACCTGCAACACCTAGCATGACAATCCACATTTACAAGTAGAGTCACCCTTGTGCAATGGTTGTTACAGAAGAGTGGCCTACAAAGGAATTTTAGGTAAGACAATCTTCCCTTCTGGCTTACATTTTGAAATTCCTCTGGTGCTTTCTTTACTTCATTTCGTGTTACTTTCTTTTTAGCAATGATTCAAACCCTAAGGCTTTTCTTTGTCCTCCCCCACTTTTTTCAGGGACCAATAATCGGCATATAAAATTCCATGAAATTATGGGATTAGAATTCATCTTATTCTAGTTAATATACAGTATTTAGCCTTCAGCTTGTTGCTAAGGTACAGTTGGGGTTGAATAAAAACAGAGTCTTTTACCTCAAGATTGAAATATTTTAAAAATATGAATACACATTCCTGCTGCTTTGGGTTGTTTCTTTAAAAAAATTTTTTTGTAGTTGTAGATGGACAACATGTCTTTATTTTGTTTATTTTTATGTGGTGCTGAGGATCGAACCCAGTGCCCCACATGTGCAAGGCAAGTACTCTACTGCTGAGCTACAACCCCAGCCTCAAAGGTTGTTTCAAAAGAGAATAATATTTGCATTTTCAGATAGATTTATAAATAGAAGCAGAGAATGCAAGAGGAGGAATTCTTGTTTTTCTTGTTGCTCAGTTTCAACAAGTGTTTACTGAGCACTTTATTATACTAAAGTATTATAATATTAACTAGGAGACTGAGGCAAATCATTGACATGATTAATTTGTAATCTTATGGAAATCTGACACAGATTGATAAAGACCCCAAGATATGCCAGAGTAAATTTATGAGATTTGTTTCACAGGAAGTGTAATCATTGAAGGTTGGAGTGATAAGGGAAGGATTGGAGAATTAGTTCAGGAAAGAATTATAGAATTTGGGGTAGAATGGTGTGAGCAGAATGAGGAGCATCAGTGCCCATGGCTTATTTAGGAAACATCAGAGAGGTAGGGGGGTCCTGATGGAGAGCAGTGGGAGAAGTAGAGGCCCCCTCCGGGCAGGCCATAATATGCCAGGTTCAGACATTTGGACTCTAGGGAGCTGTGGATGTTTTTTGATTGGGGTTGATGTGCACAGAGATTTGAGTATTAGAGCTTGTGTGTGCAAGAGGGACAAGTGGCTTGAGGACAGAGACTATGTCTTAATCATCTTTGCACTTCCAGATTCTAGTTGTTTGTTGCTTGAGTGCAAGTAAAAGGTTATCTTTTTCTTTCTAAATTGCTATGCTCTTGATAACCATTAGCTTTACCAATGGCATGACAAATATTGTGAAAGAGCCTTTTCCTGTTCAGTGTTATTTTGTTTAAACAACTCAAGTAAGCCAAATTTTGCTTCAGATTTCTTTAAGCTGTCTTTTAAAAAAATATTTTAATAGTAAATTGACGAATCATAGTTATATATATTTGAGGCACAAAGTGATGATTTATGAATACAATGGGAAGTAATTAAATCAGGCTAATTAACATACTATCACCTCAAATACTTACCATTTGTGTGTGTGTGTGTGTGTGTGTGTGTGTGGTGAGAACATTTGAAACATATATTTGAAAATCCTTCGGAGTGTAATACTATGTTCACCACTCTGTGCAATACATTTAAAAGGAAAAATGTATCTTTCTGCCGAATGGAGCCTTTGTATCTTTCAAGGTTTATTTTCTTTTTTCATTCTTCATTTTCCTTCTTAGAGGCTCAGCTATTCTCACAGAAATTATACAATGTAGCCTTTTACAAATCCCTGCCTCTCCCAAATTAAATTCTGCATAGTCTTACAAATTGCAAGAAAGGGCAGTTCACCCACACACATACATGAAACCGTACAACCCACCCGCTTCCCAACAGCTGGGGGTGTCCCCTGATTAGCTGAGTTCCTTGATTTGGATGAGCGCGCGTGCGTGCACGTGTACACTCACACACACACTCACACTCTCACACACTCACAGCCCCGGCAGCGCAACCATTTGTTTAGGCACGCTCCACTCTCGCGTGTCCAGATCTCACTCTTGGAGCCACGCGCAGTCACAGCACGTGCGTAAGGCCCTCGGGCCAGCCCGCAGCGCTCGGGCCCGCCCCCTGGCGCTGGCCGCGGGCAGCACCCACCATCACGTCACTGCTGCGCGCCGGGCGCGTCATCAGGGCGCGACGTTGCAGCAGGCTCTGGCTGAGACTTGAAGTGCAGGCAGCTGCAGCAGCTGGAGCCAAGCTGCGGGGTGGAGCAGCTGGGGCGGGAGGGCTACGAGAGGCTGCTGGGCCGCCAGCCTCGGGACAGGTGCGTGGTCGCCCCTCTCCCCGGACCTAGCACAACGCTTGCCAGTCTCCGGGAGGTCTGAGACCCCGTCCTCCTCCCAGCTCCTGCGTTCTCCCTGAGAAATGGGCCGGGCTCGTGCCGGGGAGGGGTCAGCACAGTTCTTCCTGGGAGACCAGGCTGCGGCACAGGGTCCCTGCGGGGGAGAAAGTCCTCATGCACTTAGTGCCCTAAGCACCTGCTGAAGAGGCCGGGGTCGCCTGCCATCCCGTCAAGTGCGGACGTTGAGGCAGCCGGGATGCTCAGAGAGCTGCTGGCACTGGAGGTAATCCGATAACAGCAGCCACCAGTGATTGAGTGGTCACTGTGTGTCGCACACCGTGCTGGACGCTTTGTGTGTGTGATTCAGTCTTTCTAGCAACCCGAATTAGATGGTATGGTATTATTCCCATTTTCCAGATGGAGAGACGAGAGGAGGGCATAGAAGTTAACTAACGAGACCAAATCCACTCATATGGCACGCAGTGGGGGATTTAAACATCAAAGCGGGCCATCCTGCCCCTGTCCATTACAGATTCTCTGGTTGACTCGCCTCAGCCTAGCCTCCAGACGCCTTTAGGATCCTTTTTTTTTTTTTTTTAAACTCCTTGACCTTGGGTAAACCCAGTGGGGAGGGAGGAGGAGCGTACCATGGACTTCATATTAGCACTAGTCTTTTTCCTCTCCTCATCTCCTGATCACTTCTTTTCTCAGGCAGCTGCTTGTTCTCCGGTTGTGTGGACATTCTGCAGAGGAAACTGATAGCTGAGTGCTGAATTTTTCTTTTGTATCACAGAAGAATTTTTCATCCCAGGTGCATTGCTTTACTATTCTCTCCCCTGGCCTGTTACCTTAGATAGTTCCATACATTATATTGTTAAGGGCATGTGTAGTTATTTTGAGGATAATACTAATTGTAGCAAATATATATGTGAGTTGTAAAGAAATCAGAATATGCCTTCTAAAGAATATTGTTATCTGGAGGTGATCTTTCAGGATTTTGGGGGGAATCCTCTAAGGCCAGATGAGAGTAGCTAAAAGCTAAAATAGGGAATAGATATTAAGTTAGAACAATTTTATATTTTACATTAATATTAGTGAATGTTTTCCCTTAGGATAGGAAAAGCCTTGTTGAAAAGGATGAAGACTTATAATTTGGATATTCCTAAATGGTGTCTTTCCTTTACTGCTTTGTAAATGTATTAAAAGTGGAAACATTTATTTTAAAGCATCATAAGAAATTAAGACACTCACTTCTTAATTAAGAAGCTCACTTTAGTTTAAGTGGGAAACTTAAAAAGTGCTATAATTGCCTTTATCCATTTTACATTACATGGTAGGTGTGAGTAAGAATTCCCAGCTTATAGTTTTAAAAAATCTTGTGTGCATACATGTAACAAGTTTAATTAAAACTAACTCATGCCTTTGTTCTCCCAGGAACCATTCAATTATTAAATAAAATGAAATAATTATTTGTTGCATACTTGTAGTAAGTTCTTATTTACCCTTGCAAGTAACTGTTCATAACTGTTCTTTTCAGAAAGTCTGTGTATTCAGTATTCAGGAAGTCTTAGGATACAATTGTTGATCCATGCCCCATCCTTCCCTGCTGCAACAGTCAGGACAGCCTGAAAATATAAACACATCAAGGGCAATTTTTACCCTGACTCAGCAAAGAAGCCCACCAGTTCATTGGATACCCTTTTATGGAACAAAATAATGTAGAAGTCAGTTTTGAGTTCTTGTATTTATTTTCTAGATTCCTCTTTAAAAAGGTGTATATTTTTCTAGCACATGATTTGGGAGCTACACTTTATGACATGGATGAATCTGCATTGAGCCTTGGCACAATAGATGTTTCTTATCTGCCAAATTCATCAGAATACAGCCTTGGTCGTTGCAAACACACAAGTGAGGAATTGGTAAGTTTAAGAAAAGAGATAAATGTATTCAACCTAAGAATTCTCATTTCAGTATTGTTTATGAATAAAGAAACATTGACAGCAACAAAATATAAAAATAGAGACTAATGACTACAGAAACTAATTATTAGAATTTATGTTTACAAAGTGTAGTAATACTTAACATTTTTTATGGTATTATGAAATAAAAAATTTAATAGTTGAAATACATTGATTATATTAAAAAGCAAAACATTTGCCTAGGGAAGATCCTAGTAGTTATTTTGGGTAGTGTAATTAAAAGGATTTTGTTTTCCTTCTCTTGGTATCTACTTTCCATAAGTTGTATGTAATAAGCACAAATATTATAACAGAAGTACATTTAAAAAATTAAAGATAGGAGATTGTATAAACCCAGTCTAAAAAGCCTACATATTCTTTTATTATTTTCTCTATTTTAACGTAACATGGCATATTTTAAATATAATTTCAAACAGTATCTGCCTTATAAAAAGATGTTTTTATTTGAGTTATTTTTAAGAATGTTATACAGTGAAAATGTACATGGTGGTGGATGCCTATAATCCCAGGTATTTGGGAGACTGAGGCAGGAGGATTCCAAGTTTGAGGTCTACCTCAGCTATTTATCAGGACACTGTCTCAAAATAAAAAAAAATGGGGGCTGGGGATGTAGGTTGGGTTCAATCACCAGTAGCAAAAAATAAAAATAAAAAATAAAAAAAATTATGCAGTGAGATTTGAGTAAATAATGAACTCAAAGAGAAAAAGTTTAATAGTAGAGTAGGGTTTGACCCTAATTGAGAAATGTAGCTATCATTTAAATATCAGGCATTAAACTCTCTTGATAGATAATTAAGTGTTTTTAAGTTTTCCATTTAAAATGAAACATTCTAAACCATAAAACAACTTGTTTGCTATGTCAGGCCTGAGGTTTTATTGTGGGAGGAATGTGGATTGCCAGCATAGGGATCCAGGAGTCTGATTTGTTTATCCTGTTGTCAAAAGTCCCCCCCCCCCCTTTTTTTTTTGTACTGGGGTTTGAACCCAGGGGTATTCTGCCACGGAGCTATATCCCCAGTCCTTTTTAGTTTTTGTTTTGGGATCTTGCAAAGTTGCCCCAGGATGACCACAAACTTGCAATCCTGTACCTTAGCCTCATGAGACGTTGGGATTACACATGTCCACTGCGAAGCCTGGCCAGAGTCCCTTTGACCTTCTACAACTTTGTTTTTTTTGATCTACATTATTTAAATTTTTTATTAGTGATGTTAGTTATAATTTTTAATTTTTAAGTGACAGTAATTATGCATGTTCATGGGATGCAGTGTACTATTTCAACACACAGGTACCTATTAATCAGTTTTTCTTTACTGTCCCCTGCCCCAGCCTTTCCATCCTGGTAACCACTCTGTACTCTCTGCTTCTTTGAGATTAGCTCTTTTAGCTTGCACATATAAGTGAGAACATGCAGTATTTGTCTTTTTATGCCTGGCTCATTTCACTTAACACAATGTCCTCTAGGCTTATCCAGGTTGCTGAAAGTGACAGAATTTCATTCTTTGTAATGGCTGCATAATATTCATATATTCATATATATATATATATTTTTTTTTGAGAGAGAGTGTATTTCATATTTTCTTTATTAATTCATCCATTGATGGACCCCTATAGTTTTAAAATTTTAGATGCTGCATTGAATATGCAATAATTGTTAGCAGCTGTTACTGTTCTTAAGTAATCAACTTTTGTTTATGTGGCAAGCTTTCTTCCAAGTGTTAATCCTTAAAGGGAAAAACCATAAATGAAAAATCACTACATAAGACACATAATTATACTACCAAGAGAGAATATGTCATAATTTTCTGTTCTCATGGAAATATCTTTGTTTTAGAGATCAAGTAGACAAGTATAGTTCTCTTGCCATTTAGACTCTATTTTTCCTTAATATTTATTAGGGTGAGTGTAGCTTTAGACCTACCGTCTTCAGATCCGCAACCTTAAAATGGAAAGAAAGCTTAATGAGCCGGAAAAGACCCTTTGTTGGAAGATGTTGTTATTCTTGCACTCCCCAGAGCTGGGTAAGTACATTCCTGCTTGTTGGTCTTTAATAAATAGAGTGAAATTTGTGACAGATGTCCAACTTTGTGTGAATTTTTATTGTTTGGTTTTAATGGGCTTAACTCATTTTGAGTATTGAGATCCATGTTTATTAAGAAAATATTATATCTAAAGAAGTTGACTTAATTTTTCTTTCACTATTTAATAAATATTGGTCCTATAGTTAATCTAGTCACTATTCTTGTTCTTTTGACATTTTAATATAATTTTAGGAGGAAATCTAGATCTTACTTGGACTCTTCCAGGTTGTTGGTAGGAGCATTGATATACTACATTCCAGTTATTGAACTTTATGACAACATTAAAATTGTAGCAAGATGGGAGTGACATAATGGGACAGAATCAGAAGTTGAAACTGTGGCTTTGCTCCTGGCCTTGGCTAAATTTCTGTTTCTGAGATCTGTATGTTGGATTTATGATACATGCAGTCACTAAAATGTTAGGATGAAGATTCAAGAAAGAGTGTGCTTGGCTTTGTTTTTTTGTATTTTAGTGGAAAAAAAAAATGTAAGCCAGGCAATACCTTTCACGTTCTAGTATAGTATTTTAGAAGTGGGGACTGGGTGAAAGGTAGAAGGGTGAGCTAGCCTGGGAATGTAGGTCTCATGTTACTGTGCACTAAGACAGTAGAGTCACCTTTTAGAAGGTGTATCTGGATGGTAAGCTCTCCCTGCCACTTAAGTTCCTGCCATTTATAGAGGTTGCTTATAACCTGTGTGAATAGCTAACTGTGCTGTGTGAATTTTCTTCTCAGGGTTGGCTTGGCACAAATTAGAATCCTGAGTCTGGTATAAAGGGATTTACTAACACTGGAGTGATTTGTGTGGGTTCAAGCAGTTCACATTAAATGTTCAGGTCTGCTCAAGAATATCTCCTTATAAATATTGCTGCTTCTCAACCAAGTGCCTTATTGCAAGAATTTGGTAGAATTAAAGGCTCATGGAAATTTCCAGTCTAGAAGACAGACCAGTTCAGATTCATAGGATAGTAGAAATAAAGATTTAAAGAGAAGGTCATGTGTATTTTCTTTTGAGAGCTGGAATCTCATCTAAATCTAATTTTGAATGCTTATTCAAAATAATACCTTAACTACAATATTGGACCAAAACAATACCTTAACTATAATTTGCAGTGTGTTCTTAAGTCAGAATAGAGTATAATAAACTACTTGGTGGTTAATGATGGTGTAGAGTGAGTAGATGGAAAGAATGTATAGGTAATCAATTTTTGCTGAACTGATGAAGCTGAACTTGATCTTGGATTCATTACCATGTTTATTTAAAATAAAAATTTGTTTGAAAACTTTTATATTCTAGTTTATATTTTTATTAACTTTTAAATATTTGCTATAAAAGGAAATTCTGTTTTTCTTTTTTCTTTTTTTTTTTTTTTGTGGTCCTGGGGATTGAACTCAGGGGCACTTGATCACTGAGACACATCCCCATCCCTATTTTGTATTTCATTTAGAGACAGGGTCTTACGGAGTTGCTTAGTGTCTTGTTGTTGCTGAGGCTGGCTTTGAACTAGTGATCCTTCTGTCTCAGCCTCCTGAGCCACTGGGATTACAGGTGTGCATCACCTCACCGGGCCCTTGTTTTCCTTTTCTTTAAAGAGGTTTGACTTAAACATTTTTTACATATTTGGTTGAGTGTATGCCATGTTGTTTTAGCATTTATTTGTGGCATATTTACCTTTTTACTCACATTGGGGAGATACAGACTTTATCTTTTCAACAGAGCTGTCTTTGGATTATTTTTCAGGAGCACCTGTACAGAGGGTGACCTGTAGATGTGCATTTTCTCATAAGTGACTGTCATTTTAGGGGACCATAGTTTTCAAGATCTAAGATGAAATCCTAACCTCCCACCAGTCTTAATTTTCTAACTTATAGAAGGGGGGTAATAATTGTTATGTTTTGGGAGATTTAGTAATCTAACGATTCCTGCTTGGTACTTAGCATGGTTCTTTTGTATTTTGGGAACAGTGAAATCCCTGACTTCCCTATGAGTGACTTACACTATCTGTAACTAGCTCTTTTTTTTTTTTTTTTTGGATGGAGGTGAGGAATGGTATAGGTAGGAAAGAGGCACTATTTCCTTTGGTTTAAAGTGTTAAAAATAAATATTTAACTTGACTTTCTTTGAAGGCTAGAGTACTTTTCAATAAAGCACATTTTCTCCTTTGAAGCAGTACCTAATTTTATGCTTGAATTTTAAAGTTCATTAAGAACTGGTACTGTGAGCTTTTCACTGTCAGTACAGTTGTGTATTTATGACCACATTTATTTTGTTTTATACAGGAAAAATTTTTTAACCCCAGTATTCCATCTTTGGGTCTACGGAATGTTATTTATATCAATGAAACTCACACAAGGTAAACAGAATTCTCTTATACTGCTAATGAATCTCAAAAGAAAAACTCCATAATATGCATTAACATACTTTTAGGTGAATTTATATTTTAAAGAGTGAATTGAACATGAAATTTTTTTTTGTTATTGTTTATTTTTGTTTGTTTGTTTTTTGGTACCGGAGATTGAACTCATTTGTGCTTTACCATGGAGATTTATCTCCAGCCCTTTTTATTTTGAGGCAGGGTCTCATTAAGTTGCAGAAGGTCTTGCTAAATTGCTGAGGCTGGATTTGAACTTGGAATCCTCCTTCCTCAGCTTCCTGAGTTGCTGGGTGTGTGGTTATCTCTTCTAGTGTTCTTTAACTTATTAGTATACTAATTTTTGCATATGAAGTGTGCCAAAATGTGAGAAATATTTGGGAAGAGGTATAGGTTGACTGTCTTAGCTATTGTCACCATGTAATACTTCAAAAAAGTATAAATTGTTAAAATATGTCAATCTGTAGAGTATTAGAAGATACTTTTCTCTATTGAGTAAATCTTCTTTGATTTATTTACCTAGGACATTTCAAATTCTAGGTACATGAACACAGGCTACTAAGTGCCAGAGAAAGAGAAAAAGATATTTGTTTTCTATGAATCCAGGTTATAGGATAAGAAAGGAGAGTTGGAAGGTTAGTAAATGTCTATAAGGCAAGAGATGGAATAGCCAAACAAAACTATCGCTCCTTGCAATTCTAAGAGTAGCCACTGAAGTAGATAAGTAGACTCAGCTGATGAAAAATGTTGAAATTCTATAAAAAATTAATGCAAGAAGTCAAATATTTACTTTTGAAGCCTTTCTGATATTACTATTCATAATTAGATGATAAGCTCATACATGAGAATGGTAATACCTGCATATATATTAAAGCTTTTTTTTTTTTTTTTAAATAGAACTAAAGTCATAGTTCACACATGTATTTTTCCCATTCAGAGCTACTGTTTTCTCTCTGTTTAATTTATATTTATAGGAAAGAGGGTGGACTCTGGGCCATCAAAGCATTTTTTTCTGGGTTAAGATCCTGAGATAAGGAGCATATTATTTTCTTCTTGATGTAAATAGACTTTGTACATATAAATTCAAAAGGTTTGTTTATTGCCCTCAGTTGGAAGCAAGTTAGGAAAAGAGTATTGGCTATATTGATTTGGCAATACGAAACTATTCAGTGTAATAAGCTGCCTGTATAGATTTTTAGTTAGTGTTATATGAAGCAAAATGTAACTGTCTTTACACATACATATGCATTTATGCACACCTACATATATGTACTTGCTTACACACATATAGTATTTCTAGTCAGTTGAAAAGGAAATTCATTGAGACTCTATATTCTAGTAATAATTCTGAAAATGCTTACTGAAAGAAGACTTCAGAATGAACACTAAAAGTACTGGGCTACATTTTCACAAGATTGAGACAAAGTTAAAAAAAAAAAGAAAAAGAGGCATGAAGGAGAGAAGAAACAGTGATTGATAAACACTTTTCTTCCTAATTATTTTTCCTCAAGTGAGGGCTTTTGGTTCTTTATAGTATAATGAATTCTTATTTGAATTCTTTTGTATATATCACTATGGAGGAAATGATAATGCAGCATTGTATGATCAGAAAAAAAATAGTTTCAAATCGTTACATGGTGAAGACACGCATAATGCTTATTCTGAAAATCGTGTCCCCATCCCTTCATCTCTATTCACCTCATCTAAATACCTCGTAGTTACTGTCACTGACCAAAATGTGCCCTGTTTCTTGGGCATGTAGAATATGAGTACAAATATTAATGTCTATGTTAGTTATGCTTGATGTCTTTCATCCTATCAGCTTTGTTAATTCAGTTTGAGAGTCAGTGATTTTCTTAGAAAAAGTATTATAATAATTAAAAAGAAAAAACTTCCAAATTTTTCTTTTCATAGCCAATAGATAAAACTATAAGCTATGTAGATTACCTGCTTAATAGCTTACATATATTACATTCAATGTATTTGCCATTTATTGGTATTAATAAAGTCAAATTTTCTTTTGTTTTAATATTAGAATTATCTTCAGCAAAGTAAGACTCTTCAAGCATTAACGCTAAGGAAAATTTGTTACAGGAGAACCCTAACTCTCTGGAATAGGGGACATTAGGCTTTGTTTTTAATAGGAGAAAAAATTTCTGGAGTACTTTTCTTCTAAATGGTTTTTGCATTGCAGGCACCGAGGATGGCTTGCCAGACGTCTTTCTTATGTCCTTTTTGTTCAAGAACGGGATGTCCATAAGGGCATGTTTGCCACCAATGTGGCTGAAAACGTACTGAATAGCAGCAGGTGAGGGTGGGGACACTGTTGTCAAGGTGGGGAGAGGCAGGGGTGTTTGTTGGAATGAGAATGGGGAGGTAGGTCCCTTCAGTAACCCTTGATTTCTCTGGGACTTTGTCTTGAGAAGTGTTTGTGTTTTCAAACTTTAAATGTTAAGGAAACTGAGGACAGATGGGAGAATGGATGGCTTTGGTGAACGGTGCCATGGAGGAAGAGCAGTCCAGTTTTAGGGATTAATACTTAATGAGTTTCTATTACATGCAAGGCAGGTCATGAGTCACTGATGTGGTTGACTTATGGGGTTCAGAGGTGCCAATGTTTCCAGGACTCATTTTCTGTAATATGAATGCCAGGGACCTTGTTTTATAGTCCAAAGAGAAATGAGTTTGATATTTTTGTCAAACAGTTATTGAGTACATGGGTGTGAATTATTGAAATGGAAAGTCATTGGCAGGAATCTTAAGAAAGGGGCTGGAGCTGGAGCTCAGTGGTAGAGTGCTTTGCCTAGCACATGTGAGGAAAGGGGTTTGATTCTCAGCACCACATGTAAATAACCAACTAAATGAAATAAAGATCCATCAACAACTAAAAAAAAAAAAAAAAAAAAAAAAACAAAACTTAAGAGGAGTTTTTGCTCTCAGAGGAGCTTGTAAATAGGGGAGGCTGCCTTAGACCCAGAGTGAATAGGGAGGAGGGGCAGGGCAGATTTTTCCCTCTATTCCAAAGGCTTCCTGAAACAGACTGACAATAGACTAACAGGAGAAAAAGGCATGTGGGTTTATTAATGTATATTGGACATCACAGGAGGGTAATTACCCAATGACCCAGCGAGATTGAGATCTTCATGGGGAGAGAAAGGGGGATGTGGCAATTTTGAGTATAATAAATGACATTTAGGGGATTGTTAGTAAGTCTAGAGAATAGTCAGTAGCTTGGGACAAACTGCCTCTGGTCTCTGGGAAGTTAGGTGCAGGGCAGAACTTCACTGGAAACAGTGTCTTATGCATATAGCAAGACACATAGATAACCTGTGGGAGCTACCCTCAGAATGGATCAAAAGTCTGTCTGGACATGGTGAGGACTCCCAGTCTCCTCTGGTGGCTTATCTTCCCTGATTATTCAGTGAGATTGTTGGGGAGGTTTAAAGACCATTGCATTTCTTTTGGAAAAAAATTTCTTAGCACTTCTTGGCCTTTTGGCTAAGATCAAATCTAGAAGTTTCTTCAGTCAAATAAGGGAATTCTAGAGAACCCCTCCCTATAATTGGATCAAGAAAGAAACAAAAATTAGGAAGTACTTGGTCCTAAAGCATCTTTCAGGGGCTTCTGATTGATTTTAATTACTCAGCATACCAAAACCATACTTCAGCATATGATTTTCTGAGCCCCATCAGGGGAAGTACATGTTCTAGAATATGGGAGTTTGGGAGAAGGTTAGGCTGTTCCAACTCATTGGGGTGGCCCATTGTAGAGATCCAGTTGGATTTGGGGAGAAGGAAATGGGGTGGGTTGAAAGGCTGCTTAGAATTCCCAAGGGCCATTCATGGGCCCTGTGGTGTGATTATTAAAACCTCAGCCGTGTTGGCATGTAGTAAGTACTCAAGAAATATTTATTGGTTGTATGAGCAAGTGGTTGATAACGGTGATATAATAAACACATTAAAAACTTGTGAAGACATTCCTGGCCAGATGTAAAAGATGCTATTTAAGGAATAGACTGGATGTGTTGGGTCCTTAGAATCTTTTCATATTAATGAACTATGAGACCATTTGGAATTTTTCCATACTCCATTAGTCTTAACTCAATAGCAACGGTAAGAGAAAACACAAGTATTTGAATCTCTGTTGGATTATTGTATATTTTCTAGTTAAAAACTTCAAGTTTGTTTCATTCCATTTGTTTTAATTAGTAACTGGGATATTAGAAATGGTTTAAGGAGGGTTAACCTCATGTTTCTTTCCTAATCATGTGAAGGATTTATAAAACTGGATTAAACTTTTCCTTTCACCTCATTTTTTTATTGCTCAGTGCTATGTTGATCTTGACCTACTCCTTTTAAAAATTATCAGATTGATTTGAAAAAAAATTTATAAATATTTGTCTTTTTCTTTGTACTTCCTAGAGAGTTTTACATATGGTTCTATTAATGGGGTACTAATATAAGTCAATAGTAAATTAGGATTTTTGAAAGAAAAATTGCACATTACTTTGGCAATTTGTGTGTGTGTGTGTGTGTGTGTGTATGTGTACGTCTGAATTATATACCTACAAGGAAAATATTCCTTATTCTCTCTCTCTCTCTCTTTTTTTTTTTTTTGCTAGAGTGTTACTTTTGTCCCTCATACCAAAACTGGAACATGAAAATGTACAGTTGTTACCCAGTGAATTCTTAAAGTCTCATTGATTTAGGAATATAATATCCTTTATTTTTAACTTGAGCATATTCTAACTTCAGCTTATTCTTTCTTGTTACCTCAGGTTTTGTGATTCATCGCTGTAGTTTAGGCAATATGTAATATGCAGTGAAATGTAATATGATACCAGTTATATTGTCTGTCTTTCCATTTTCAAATCAGAGTACAAGAGACCATTGCTGAAGTGGCTGCTGAATTAAACCCTGATGGTTCTGCTCAGCAGCAGACCAAAGCCATCCATAAAGTGAAAAAGAAAGCCAAGAAGATCCTTCAAGAAATGGTTGCCACTGTCTCACCTGGGATGATCAGGTATTAACAGTGGAGGCACAAACTTTTACCCGGAGCTAGCCTGTTTGAGCGAATAGAACTGAACCATTGGATTCTCCTATCCTAGTATAGTGCTGATTGAGCACAAGATATTTTAATATATTTTTTAATGTTTATTTTTTAGTTGTAGTTGGACACAATACCTTTGTTTTATTTATTTATTTTTATGTGGTGCTGAGGATCAAACCCAGGGCCTCACATGTGCTAGGCAAGTGCTCTACCGCTAAGCCACAACCCCAGCCTGAGAAGATATTTTAATGTTAAGTCCAATTCTTTTTTATATTCTTATTCAGCTTCTGTGGGAAGTAGCACTATGGTAGGCTCCAGGGTGTCTTAAACTCTGCTAACTGAGAGCAGCCATTGCAATATTTCTGATACCTGTTGTCCTCGACTGGTTATGAGTCAAGTCTCACATGCATGTCTCAAGGGAGAGGTTTGTGTGTGTTAGAGGGACCATTCTGCTCATTATATATTAGCTTGTTTATTTACCTTTAAAGTATGCAGTGTTATTAGAGTGAAATATGATTTTTATTCATAATAAATAAATTACTTCTTTCAGTAATATGTATTTAAAGTTAGCTCACTAGTTCTGCAATTCAGATACATAGGTGTGCACATGTACACACAAAGCCATTTATAAGTACTCATATAAAAGGTTGTAGTTCAGAAACCAAAGTTGAAAAATGTCACCTATAATTATAGCTGACATATAAATCATATTTATATGTATAGGTAAATGTATGCCTATAGATTTACCTTTTTGTTCTTTCTTTCAGACTTACTGGGTGGGTGCTGCTAAAGCTGTTCAATAGCTTCTTTTGGAACATTCAAATTCACAAGGGTCAACTTGAGATGGTTAAAGCTGCAGCTGAGGCAAGAATTTCTGTGAATCTGTTATTCTATTTTCCTCTTGTTTATAGGTTGTGACTTTAGAGTTCTTTGGGAAATACTCTCTGGTATAGTATCATGCAATTCAACCCAGTTGGAAGGTTTCCCTTTTGTGAAAACTGCAGTGGCTGTGTATCTTGGTGGATGTGGGGTAAAGGAAGACCTACCAGCATACGTAGGTTTCCTTTTGTAAATTACCTTGCAAAACCTAAGAGTCAAGTGGAACAATCCCTATTTTATAATAAGGAAATAGAGGCATAGAAAGAAATCACAGATAGTAAGGGATTTAGTTTAGGATTTCAAACCAAGCCTAACTCCAAAAACTTATATTCTTTTTACATGCTTAGGCCTGCCTCTCAGAGGTTCAACTTGAATTCTTGATTATGCCTCTCCTTCCCCTAGCTCATTCTGTTGTTATAGTTTTCCTTCTATTTAGTAAGTCAGTATTAACTTGAAAGAAGTTCACGTTCTTGGAAAATATTTTTAAAGAATGAGTCACTGATTAGCCAGTGTTTGAGTGCCTCTAACCAAATATGCAGTTGCAAATTGTAATTGAATTTACATTTCAATTTTAAATTTGACATTTTTTTTTCTATTAGACGAATTTGCCGCTTATATTTCTACCAGTCCATAGATCCCATATTGACTATCTGCTGCTCACTTTCATTCTCTTCTGCCATAACATCAAAGCGCCATACATTGCTTCAGGCAATAATCTTAACATCCCAATCTTCAGGTAAGTTCAGCTTAATTTGAAATTTAAGTTATTCAAAAGATCGTGTTTTGAATTTTTGGTGGTGGTTGTTTTTTTTTTTTGTGTGTGTGTGTGTATGTGTGTGTACCTTTTGATGCCTCTTAAGATGATATTAGCCTTTTTCCTTTTATTATTATAAAAAGTAGTACTTGCTTATTGTGTAGAATTTGGGTAGTGCAAAAAAGCATTATGACCATCACCATGGTTTATGTATTTTTTATGGATGAACTGTGAATACTTCAATTTGACAGGCAATATTTATCAAGTAAATAAAAGGCAGTTAGAAAGGTAAGATAGTAGACAACTATCCCAGGCTTGGCAGTAGGGAGGTGAAGTGGTGGTATAAAGGTAAATGAGAATAATCATACCTGAGACTTTGACCTTACAGAGCAAAAAACATGTAGAAGGAACAATACAACATGAAAGGTGTTTTTTAGAGGTTTTCAGGAAAATGAAGTGTATCCATTCAGAGGAAACTGCTGTGCAAAGACAGAGAGAGTCAAGAGCCTGGTGTGGTGGAGAGGTCATGGACCATTAGGGGAGGTATGAATATAGGATGCCTGTGGAAGGGTCAGGCTGGAGCTTGTAGCTGCATAGGCAGTGAGAGCTAGATCCACACGAGTTCCAAGGCAAGAGTCAAGAGTCCACTATGAGCCTTGGAAATGACATGTTCAGATTTCATTTTGAAAGATCATTCTGAAGGAGAAGAAGTTAGATCAATTCTGATTTTGTTATAACAATTTGGGCAAAATGTAATGAGGGCTTGAAAGTGTAGGAGTGCTCTTGAAATGGAGGGCATAGATTTACAGAGTACTTAGTAACTTGAATTTACAAGACTCAATGATGGTTCAGATTTGGGGCTCAGTAGAGGGGAAGAAGCTGGTAGGGGAGATTTCTGGGTGTTTTCCACCTAGGAAACTGGAAAGATAGTGGGTCTGAACACCCATGAGGAATTGGTGAGGAGTAGGTTGAGCTAGTTTGAGAAACTGAACTTTTAAACTTTAAACAAAGTAAGGTCACCTCTGTGAGAAGAGGGTAGGTAAGAGGAGTATAAATTTATAGAGAGACTGGATGAGAAGTTGGCTGGCAGGTTTTGCAGGTAGAGCCTCCTGGGTGGCATTCATTACCTTTGTGTGCTGTGAATTCTGGACATCAGCCCCATGTCAAGGAGCTCCTTTCTAATCCCATGGCTCAGTGTTCTATAGGTTTTGAGTTCTGTAGCTTGTCAGTTTCCATTGATGTGACGAAATATTCTGAAATACTTGGCTCCATTGTGTCTGGGCTTGTGGTGAGGGAGTACCGCAGGGTGTGAAGGTGTGATGGAGGAGAGCTGCTTACCTCATGGCAGCCAGAAAGCAAGAGAGAGGGAGGAAGAATCTGGGGACATAATAAAGCCTTTGAGGGCATAGTCCCTAGGACTCGCTTTCTACAACCAAACCCCACATCCCTAGAGTGCTGTCACACGGGGAGTGAGGCTTTAACTTGAGCATTGGGGGAATTTAATATCTAAGTCATGGCAGTGGCTGTGTGATCAGCAGAAGAGGAACCATTCACTAACGGTATTTATCCAGCTGTACTTTGGGCAAAAAGTGAGTAAGTCACACATCATTACCATGCAATAACGTGGTAATATTATATTAGCTAGCTAATGTATAATAGCTAGCTATAATACAGTGGGAGAGGACCCTAAAGGGCAGATATGGTTTCTAAGGATTAGAATACCTGTTTTGACTCTCCAGAGCACTTGAGTCCCAGTATCAGAGACCCTGGGAAAGGGACTTAGAAAGTCATCAGAGGTGCCAGAAGGCAGTTTCAGAGTGAAGAGGATTATTCCACCGGGCCTCTAGAGAAGCCTTGCCTCTTGTAATCAGAATAGCTCACATGCTGATTCCCGTTGTGTCTGATTCTCAGCTAGGATCTTGGAAAGTGCTTAATAAATACTTATAATTTCTCATAAATGAACCTTCCTGTTCACAAATTTGATGCCAGTCATTGCCTTGCCCACGCTTCCTTCACACATAGCCCAGTCTGTTTATGTGCAGCTTGCTTTTGTTGCATTCTTGTCTACACTTCTCAGGGTGCAGTATTTTTGTGACTGGCTCATCTCATTCATTTTGAATTTATTTTGCAAAGTTTTAATTTCAACAAGTGATACTAGGGCTGGAGTTATAGCTCAGGGGTAGAGTGTTTACCTAGCATGTGTGAGGCACTGAGTTCTATCCTTGGCATATAAATAAATAAAAATAAAGGCCATCAACAACTAAAAAAATGTTTAAAAAAATAAAATAAGAGTGATACTAAGCTTTGGCAACATTTTACCTTGGCCTTCTCATACTAACTGTGGAGGATAACACAAATACAAATAGCACTTAATATAGTGTCACTCTGTTTAGATTAACATAGACATTAATGGTTCTTTTATAGTAGCATTGTAGTATTTGAAAAGAATAGGAAGAGGCTTTGAGTTCGGGAAAGATGACTTAGATAATTTCAACTTTGTGTCAAAAATTCATCTATTTGTAGAAAGAGACATGGGGCTGTGAACAGAATTGTTTTATTCCTGCGTATGTGTAAATAAAGTCAATTTTTGTTTCATGTTTTATAAAGGTGATTATACTCAGTTCAGTTTAATAAAATTATCCTTGTATCAAGGGAACCTGTTTAAGCAACAATTACTTGAGAACATTTTCCCTGAGGGACTATGTTCATTTTGTGAATTTTTATAAATTTGCCATGGACAAATTTCAGTATGTCTTGAGACCCTGGACAGAGTTTTAAAATTTAGAAGTATCCTATAATCCTTTTATAATCTGTGCCATCACCTTTGCAAAGCAGTATATCATGAAGTTCCTTTTGGTTTGTAACCAATGTAATAGACCTTCATCACATGCAGCGGTTGTCTGCAGGCTGGGGAATCTTGTGAATGATGAAGTGTGTCAGTGATGCGGAAGGTGAAAGACTGCCTTTATCTGCCTGGTCACCGCATATGTGGCTTACATCAGATTGCAAATGTTTTGAAGAAACTTGGAATTGGAGTATTCTTTTTATAGTTTTCCTTATAAATAATTCATGCACTCTTGAATTTATAGTACCTTGATCCACAAACTTGGGGGCTTTTTCATACGACGGAGGTTGGATGAAACACCAGATGGACGGAAAGATATTCTCTACAGAGCTTTGTTGCATGGGGTCAGTATGATCTGTAATTATCCTTAAGCCATCATGCCCGCTTTCACAGTGAAAGGAAGAAGAGATTGATGGAGCTGAGATTTTAAAAAACTGTTCTCTGAATAATTTGATTATTACCTAGGTATGAGTCTGATGAGTCTAATCATCAAAATACAGTGTTGGCAATGGTGCTTTGCTATTCTTGGTGTGGGTAAAATATTTTGTTAGTAGTGAAAAGATAGTTTTTTCTATATTCTTAAGGTTAGTTTTTCTTATCTGAGTCTCAGTTGAGTGGTTTTGAACTCATGCTTTGCTTTCTCTTTATATTTCAGCACATAGTGGAACTACTTCGGCAGCAGCAGTTCTTGGAGATTTTCTTAGAGGGCACACGCTCAAGGAGCGGGAAGACCTCCTGTGCTCGGGCAGGACTCTTGTCAGTGGTGGTTGATACCCTGTCTACCAATACCATCCCGGACATCTTGATCATACCTGTGGGAATCTCCTATGATCGGATCATTGAAGGTCACTACAATGGCGAACAGCTGGTAAGGGGTCTGCCTATACAAAAGTTACCATCACTTTTCAAGGCTTGCTTTTAGATTTAAACATCAGCATTTAGATTTGCTGTTAGGTATTCCCTGACTTTAGAACACAGTGAAACATGGTTGGAGGCATGCTGAGTAGCCCTCATCCACTGTGTCACTGTGGGGCAGTGCTCACATGGTGTCATTCTGCACTTGGAGGAAATGGCATGACCAGGGTGTTTTGTTTTGTTTTTTAATTTTTAATTTTTTAATTATAGTTGGACATGATACCTTTATTTTATTTATTTTTAATGTGGTGCTGAGGATGGAACCCAGGGCCTCGGACTTGCTAGGCAAGTGCTCTACCACTGAGCCACAACCCCAGCCCAATGACCAGGTTTTTCAGTGCTGGCTTTGGTCATTGGGCTTGAAAATAGAAGAGCACTTGCCACTGGGTTGTTATCTCAATTGGTAGCTTATCTGTGGTTTGCTCTCCCCAAGGGCCTGCCGTTTATTTGCAGATTTAGTTATGCCTGAAGAATTGGTGGGATCATATTGGCAAAACAACTACAAGTTAATTTGTGAAATGGCAGCAGGCTTTTTCTGTAAACTTTTTATTGAAGTATAGTAGTTACCAAAGAGTGCACAAAACATAACCATGTAGATTGAATTATCACAAAGTGAATACAACTAATAACAGCACCCAGATGAAGGAATAACATTATCGGGACCCCAGAAGTCACCCTGTGCCTTTCTTATCATTAGCCCCTCAAGAATAGCTACTTACCTGATTTCTTACAGAATAGATAGTTTTTTTCCATTAATGAGTTTCATATAAATGGGATAATACAGTATGTGTTCTTTTTACACCTGGTTTCCTTACTCAAGTGATTCATCCAAGTTGCTGCACATAGTTGATTTGTTCTCATAGCTCTAGCTCTGTAGTGTCCCAGTGTATGAATAAACCATAATTTATCTATTCATGCCATCATTCTTACACAATTCTCTTGGCAACCATAGGTATTTATTTTGTGTAGTATATGTTAGAGGTGGAACTGGTAGGCTATAAAGTACGTGTGTGTTCATTTTTAGTACTGCCAAACAGTTTGCCTTGATGGTTTTACCAACATACCCTCCTGTTGGCAGTGTGAGAGTGCTGGAGGAGAATAGTCTTGGTCTTATTTAGTGTGGAAGCCTTGGGTAAAATACTTACTGCATTCACTGCTTCAAGTATGTCACAAGTTTAAGGACACTTGACAGTTGCAGACTTTAAAAATTAAGCAATAGACCTGGATTGTTATCTGACAGCTTTCTTCTTATGCTGTCAGTCTCACTCTTGCCTGATGTCAAATAAATGCTCAGGAGGTGCTGCCTAGGCGAATAATCAGCTCAAAGGCCACTGTGAGGCTGACTGGCATTTAGTTACCTGAAGTTAGGTATTCAGACTCTGGGATTTGGTAGACTACTCTTAAGTGGCCTCTTTGACCTCTTATCTTTACCTGTGAACTTGAGTAGTTTTCAGGGTATTATATAATTTTATCCTTCACCAATTTGCAGCTGTATTTTTTGTGAAGGATGTGAACGTTATATTAAATGAACTAGTATGAAATGTTTTCCTCTCCCAGCGATGCGCCTACTTCTCTTGGTATCTTTGAATACTAAACACTTTCTGACAGGTCTCAGGTAATAACTTATTTTTCTTTATTATTGTTTTCTCTTTCAAGATGAATCTCTAGTATCTATACAGAATTATTCTTTGGAAAACAATTTGTTAGCTTTACTTCTCACCATGTTATCTTTTCACCACTGGAATTTAGGGCAAACCTAAGAAAAACGAGAGCCTTTGGAGCGTAGCAAGAGGTGTTATTAGAATGTTACGAAAAAACTACGGATATGTGAGAGTGGACTTTGCACAACCATTTTCCTTAAAGGTGAGAGTCTGTGGAGTGTGAAAGCATTGGCCCAGAGGTAGATAGTCTGGGCTCTCATCTGGCATTAACACCACCTCTGTGTACTCACGGCCTCTGATTCCTCTCCTGCAGGAAGGATATGACAAAAGTAGCATTTCCTAAAATTTCCCACCAAATTGTGCCTATTGACACAGGAGAATGTCTGTCTTTGGGAAGTAAAAAGGTTCAATGTTGCTATTTTTTAAAAAATTAATTCATGAGAATCCTATATATGTCAGTATTCTATAGTTTAAAATTGCATTTAGGGAAAATTTTTCAAAAAAAAAAAAACAAAAAACTTTCCCAGTGGGTAAAAATTGACAGTCTGTATGCTGCTGAGTGGAATTCAGTACCTAGCTATCTCAAGGGGACTGTTGTCTTCATTAACAGTCTGGGACTGCCAGTTCCCTGAGGTCTTGCTGTTTAAAATTCCTTAGATTTTCAGATTGGTATAGAGGAAGAAAGAGATGGGGGAAGAATCCGGGGACAAGGAGCAGGGGTGTTATATATCTCCTTCTTTTGTACTACTTTGGCTCAACTTTAGAAGATTCTAAATGCTGTGCCACATACTTTCTGGTCTTAAGTGCTTTCAGCTCAGAGGGGCCTTGTCATTTCTTGCCACTTTATTTTTTATATTTTTAAATGATAGCACAGCTTGTTCTTGTGATTTGTTTTTGTTTGAGGTTCTTTTGTATTTTATGTGACCTTCAGGTTGCCAGATTTCCTTCAAAAAGTATGGTAGTCTATTATTACTATTTCTCATTAGAAATGTTGAATGATTTCCATGACTATCTGAAAAAAGTTAACATTTTCCCTTTAGTTCTTAAGTGATTTTATTTAAGCATCATTCTGTCCTTTGTATTTTTAGTTCTTAGATTATATGTTTAATAACTTTATGAATCATTTTGGACTTCCAAAGACAGTTTCAGTACAGGAAGTATTCCCATGCTCTGTAGTATGGCACATTTTTTTACCTTTGAGGATCAAAATGTTTTATATGTTGATAAAAAAGTGAGACAATGAAAGTTTTGATGATAGGTTTCTTTTCTTTCTTTCTTTTTTTTTTAAGGAATATTTAGAAAGCCAAAGTCAGAAGCCTGTATCTGCTCCACTTTCTTTGGAGCAAGCCTTGTTACCAGCTATACTTCCTTCACGGTAAGATTTGTGGAAATGTTTTTATATTAACTACCAAATAACTATTATTTTTAACATTACATAGAAAAATGTTAACTTTATTAAGAACATACTGCTGCTTCTTTACTTGATTATTGTAACTTTTCTCATGATCTGATAAAGAATATTGAATTGTGTTTTTACATTAGTTTGGAGGCTTTTATTTGCATGTGAAATCTTTTTGATTTTGTGAATCATGTACAAGTTCTTATTTGATTTATGCTTTTGAATATTTGAACTGAATTCTTCTTGGTAGTAGTTTAGGTTGTGCATATTGTACATAAATGAACCATGTGAAAGAGTTTTGCTATTTGAGTTTTACAGAATTCAAATTTAATTATAGCTTCAAGAAATAGAATATTAAGCCCTTCTTTTAATATGCTAAAATTTTGGGTTTTCAGACATGTTTTAAAACATGAAATTTTGCATTTTGTGCTTTGTCTGCCAGTGGGTTTTGGAAGTGATGTACCAAAAAACTGTTTATAGTCATAACTAAATAGCATGTTTTGTCCAAGAGATGATACTAAACATAATTAAGTATATTATGGAGGAAAACAACTCATAAAATACTCTTTTTTGTGGTTTAAATATAAAGTGTGTAGTAATTTGAAGTATTTAAATTAGATGTAAATTAGGTTTAATTTATAGATTAGTCCTATGTACTTTGCCTTGTGAAAGAGTGGGGCAGTGGAATGCTGATTTAAAAAAATCTTTTCAGACCTAGTGATGCTGCTAATGAAGGTGTAGAAATACCCAGTAATGAATCCAGGAATGCAGCAGAAGAATTCTTCCGAAGAAGGTTGATTGCAAATCTGGCTGAGCACATTCTATTTAGTGAGTAGAATTCCACACTCTAAATCTTTGATTCAGATCTGGCACAGTGCGGTGCAAACCTTACAGGTTTTGGAATCTGCTGAGGTTGTAGTTGTAGTTTCCTCTTCCAGGTCAATTGCCTAATTCACAGGTAGTGATAGGCAAGTTATTGAAAAGAAAGTGATATTGGGGGAATTTGAGGGAATGTGAACAAATTATTTGACTTGGTGTCTGATAAGCAGTGGTACTCATGTTTTATTTCTTGTGCTTTTTAAAAAAGGTTTTGTCAAAATGATTTGTGGCCTGTTTTGCTCATAAATGTGTTTTTGAACTAGTTTATGATGCAACATCTAGGTTTATAGTTGCATATTCTTTTCTTCTCTGATCCCATGGGTATTTTTATTCAGTAAGTATTGAGTGGCTATTTCACATAAAGGTTTGCTATAGCTGCATGGAATACAAATTGAATCATTAATGGTTCTGTGCTCAAAGAGCTTCTGCTGTCTCAGTGGAATAGTTGTATACAAATACTTGAAGTCATAGTGACACTGAGTAGCATTAGAGCTCTGGGTATTATGAGCCTCCCTTACATTCTAAGTTGCAGCATGTGTACTCTTTTAGAGGCTGCTTTAAAAACCGGAGACAGCTGCTGAGTGTAGTGGCACATGCCTGTAATCCCAGTGACTCGGGAGGCTGAGGTAGGAAGATCACAAGTGTAGGCCAGCCTTAGCAACTTAGCAAGCTCTAAGCAACTTAGCAAGACCCTGTCTCCAAATAAAAAGGTCTGGGAATATAGTTCTGTCCCTGGGTTCAATTTCTAGTACTGGAAAAAAAAAAAAAAGTCCTCAGTCAGCACCATGGTGTCTTGGTACTCAGACCAGCAGGATCTCCTTGCTCCTTCTGCTCTGGCTGCTCATTTTCCCACTTGACTCTGGGCCAGAGGAGTTTCCTTCCTTCTTCTTTCCCTCCAACCTTCCTTTGGTGCTGGGGAATGGAACCAAAGGACTTCATACATGCTAGGCATGCACTCTACCATGGAGCTGTATCCCCAGCCCACAAGATCCTTTCTTAAGCACAGCTGATTATATGTCTCTTTTGCCTAAGATTTGGATGCAAAAAATAATACATCCTAATTTTTGAAAAGTAAAGGTGAAACAGATAGCAAAATCCACTATTTAAGTAACTAGTGGCATTACTGTCTAATCTCTAAAGATATTTACAATTTTTTACCATACTGGTTTTCATTTATAACATTTATTAATGTTTTAAAGAATTCTTTTTTAAAATATTTTTTTAGTTGTAGATAGACACAGTACCTTTATTTCATTTGTTTTATTTTTATGTGGTGCTGGGGATGGAACCCAGTGCCTCACGTATGCTAGGCAAGCACTCTACCACTGATCCACAACCCCGGCCCCATATTTTAAAGAATTCTTTATAAATACTCTTTTTAATGACTGTAAATATGGTACTGGACACTTTTTAAAGTCAACACTAGAGACCAATTGTGAGTGACATGTTCATGAATTCATTGTTATTTGTCATACAACTTAGATTATATTTTCTTTTTTTCCCCACATTTTTTATTGGTGCATTAAAGTTCTACATAATAGTGGAATTTGTTGTTACATATACATGTACACAGTATAGCAATATAATTTGGCCAGTGTCATTTCCCACTATTTCCTCTTTCTCTCCCTTCCTACCTCCCCCTAGTTCCTTTCTTATACTCTACTGACCTCCCTTTTATTTTTATGAGATTCCCCCTCATTCCTTCATTATTCTTTTTCTTACAGACTATATTTTTATTTCAAAATATTCCATGGATGTTCACATAATTTTCTATAAATCAAAATGTTGGGTTATATACTATAGATATTTTCAAATATATTTCTGTGCCCTTGCTGCCCATCTCTGGGCCAGGTTGAGGGGCCAAGGGTATAGCTCAGCGGTAGAGAATTTGGCTCAGCATGTACAAGACCCTGGGTTCAGTCCCCACCACTGCCCCCGCCCATGTTTAGCCTATCCCCCCAAAACCCCCATTCCCTGCCAAAAAAAAAAAAGGAATAGACTCCTCTGGGCCAGTTTGAGAAGAGGAAATGAAGATACATTGAGCTCCTGTTACCATGAGTCCTTGCCAGACCATCATTTCATTCTTTTACAGCCCAATGAACTAGATAATATTTTGCAACTGAGGCTCAGGAATTTTGTTTCATTTTCTCCAAGTCATGAAATTAGTGTAGAAATTAGGATTTGAGCCCAGATTTTTCTGACTTCAAATCCAAATTTTTCCTTTTTCTATACCTTCACTCTAACTTGGTGAGTATGTGCAAGAAGAGTGAAATAGGGATGTAATTCTAAAAGACTGCGGCCAGGGACAAGTCAGGAGACACACAGGGGGTATCCCATAGAACTCGAGAACAGGCTCATACTCTGGGTTTTGGTATTTCAATAAGGGTATCTCTTGGTCATAAGTATCCCAAATCTTTTGGCTGAGGTTGAAGGTGGACCCGTCTTAGATGGCATTATGAATAATGATCTCTAAAGAGGCTCCATTTTACCAGAGCATGGTGTAATGCTACAGTTTCCTTTTGGTAAATCACAGTTATAGGAAATGTGGCAGAGAACTTTTATAGTTTTAATACCTTTGTTTAAAATTAAGGTGCTTTTAAAAAGTTTTAGCTGTATTAAAAAAAAAAAAAAAGTGCAACTAAAGCTTTTGTGTTTGCCTTCCAGCTGCTAGCAAATCCTGTGCCATCATGTCCACCCACATTGTGGCCTGCCTGCTGCTCTACAGACACAGGCAGGTATGTCCATGATATCACCCACAGTTCAGTAGAAAGCCTGCGAAGCTTTTATCAGCTGTTCAGAGGCATCTTCAGAATAGATTTGGCCCACTCCTGGCTAGTACTATGAGATAAACAGTAAAATAAATTAGGGACCCACTCCAAGGGAGTTCCTAAACATGGTAAAGGAAGAATCTACATAAAAGAAAAGTCAGACTACTTAATATATGCAGTAATAAGATATTCTTTGAGACCAGGCTCAGTGGGACTTGCCTATAGTCCCTATTCCTTGGGAGGCTAAGGCAGGAGGATTGCTAATTTTAGGTCAGGCTGGGTGAGTTCTTGTCTCATAACAAAAAATAAAAAGGTTTGCTATATGGGTCAGTGGTAGATATTCTTTGATTAAGATGGTTAATGTAAATAAAGTATATTTCATTGACTTGTGGTATGTTTTCTGATAGTGAATGATTTCCAAGTAATCTGATTTGTATGTTAGGGCCCACCCTCTGTCTTCCCACAGTAGACCTGTCTTAACTCTATGATAGGATAGACCGTGACTGGTCCATTCAGTCATGTTCTCAGCACCAGGCATGGTGCTGGTATGTATCCTCCAAATAAATGTTTGTAAGACAAATATTTAAAATGAAGGAAATTCTTTCTCAAAACTGAAAACGTCTTACCTTCAGACAACTTTTCCTTCCCTTTGTGATCTCACATACTCACTCATACTAGAGTGGTTTCTGGCATGTGGAGTACCATGTCATTCCTATAGGACCAGCTTTTTAAGCAGTTTCCTGACTGGCTCTGTATTGGTGATCTGGGTGTTTCCTGTAGGTCCCAATAGCAAGCTGTGGGAAGCCAAAGCAAGAAGAAAATCCTGGGAATATTGGCCTCTTGGCCTTTTGGAAAGGATATTTTCCCTGTCTTGAGATCATTTCTCTGTCTGTAGGGAATCAATCTCTCCACATTGGTGGAAGACTTCTTTGTGATGAAGGAGGAAGTCCTGGCTCGTGATTTTGACCTGGGGTTCTCAGGAAATTCAGAAGATGTAGTCATGCATGCTATACAGCTGCTGGGAAATTGTGTTACAATCACACACACTAGCAGGAATGATGAATTCTTTATCACTCCCAGCACAACTGTGCCATCAGTCTTTGAACTGAACTTCTACAGCAACGGGGTGCTGCATGTCTTCATCATGGAGGCCATCATAGGTATGTCAGGCCCCGAATGCTTTTAGATATTTTCTTGGAAAGTACAGGGCCTAAAACACATAGTGGCATCTACTTTGGTTAGATGATAGCCACTTGTTGGAGAAAATGCATTGTTATATTTTTAATTTCCAAATCTGCTGCCATGTCACTGGTTATGGCCACAGCAGGTATTTACTGAACCACTGTGTGTGTGCTGTTTGCTTATCACTGTGGAGGGAGTCAAGTGCCTTGCTGTCTAGGAGCTAAAGCTCTAATTGAGATGGCACGCACAGGGCAGTGAAGAGAGTGGAGGGCTTATGTGATGGAGAGAGTGCAGAGGAGAAAGAGCAGAAGCGACTGAGCCCTTGGGGATGTCTTTCATAGTGTTAAGACCATGTAGACTCATAATAATCAAATCCTGTGGGATTTTCTCCAGTAAAAGCAGGCCACTGTTTTTGATATATTAACACTTAAGGAGATCTGAGTTATTAGAGCCAGGTGAAGTTTGTCTTGGAGACCCCGTGCGGGTGACTTCATTCTTACTTTTATGTCCCTAGCTTGCAGCCTCTACGCGGTTCTAAATAAGAGGGGCTCAGGAGGACCCACAGGTGCCCCCGGCAACCTGATCAGCCAGGAGCAGCTGGTGCGGAAGGCCGCCAGCCTGTGCTACCTACTCTCCAACGAAGGCACCATTTCTCTTGTGAGTGAAGGCTCTTCATGTTACCTGTTTTCTTTTGAGCATTTGCACAAAAACAAACCACCTTTGTTTTTCTCATAGAAAACTTTTGGCCCACTGTTGCAGCCTTCTGTTCACTCCTGCCGTCAGTGACCACCAAATCAATGTCATTGACCATCTTGGTTTGAGTGTGGCTCACCTCCCCAGTGAATCCTTTGTGCAACTACAAGGCATGGGAGGACAGATTGCTCCATGTTTGTAGTTAGACCCAAAGTGACTGAGTGATGTGTGAAAGAGTCTGAGTCATAGTTTGTCAGTAATTAACACACCCACATGTAGATGATGGATCACAGGTGATAAAGAGTGAGAGAAACAGCCTTAAAAATCATCTGTTTGACCCCCTCTCAATTTACAAATGAGGAAACTGAAGCCCAGAAGTAAAAGTTAGCATTTATATTATAACCTGGCACTTCTAGATATTTAAAATGAGACATATATACTGAGCCATAAATATTTCCTTCTCAATCAAGTACAATTCATATTTTATTTGTATTCTAATATCTCTTCCCCTTATATGAATAAGTCTTGGGACATTTGCAATTAAAAGTATTTTGAGTACAGCTCTTCTGTATGTTCTCATTTTGTATCATTGATTGGTGGTTCTGTTGGGGAACCTGTTTTGCATGAACTTTGGACGATGTGACAGGAAAGGTAGGGACAGATGAGAATCTTAAGATTAGCCTCATCCTTTCCCAGGGTCTTGTCATAATACTTTGTTTCCTCATTCACTACTTTTGTGAACATTCTTTGTTGTAAGATGGCCTATCAGAGAGATTGTCTCATAAAAGACCAAGAAACAGATGGTGGGGACCAAGACCCTACCCCTTAGAATAGGGCTTGCTCTACTCTGGGAGAGGACTGAGTTCAGGAGCGCCCTCTGCAGGTGGTTTCACATCAGGAGTGCCCACCAGCTAGGAAACTAGGTCTCTCTGGCTTTGTCCATGACCAGGCATTTATCAACAGGGTGGACATTAGAAATCACAGGACTTGCCAGGGGAGTAAAGTAGGTGATAACATGGAAGGATTTGACAGCTACTTTGTTCAGTGTCTTTAAAAAATATGGAACAGTGAAATTTATGTGTGTAAATAAGTTTTTTTTTGTTGTTGTTTTTCCTGCAGCCCTGCCAGACTTTTTACCAAGTTTGCCATGAAACAGTAGGAAGATTTATCCAGTATGGTATTCTTACAGTGGCAGAGGTAAGAGGAAGAGCCTTCCTTTATTTGTCTCTTGAGTTTCTTGCTCTGTTTCCTTACCTTTTCCAGCAATTATTTATGCCAGTATTTCTATCAGTAATTTTAACCCATAATTATATTTGCCATGTAGTCATGTCTAGGTGAAAGAAGAGAAACATAAAGATGGGGAGAATAAATGTCTTTTTGAATTATTTAATATTTTGCTTTCTTTTGTATAAGTGCTATTGTTTTAAGGCATACCTTGACTTGATTCTGTGACATCCAGAAGTTGCATTCTAAGATGCGACACTGTACATATCAGTGTGCTTGTAGCTTGCATATGTGCAATTTTCTCTTGAGATTTTAGTTTTGGTGGATTTGGTGTAGAGGGGAGGGCCTGGGAAAATGGAAGTCAATTTAGAAGATGGAAGAGTATCTTCATTTGCTCTGTCTGGTAGCTCTTTCCCAAGACCCTACCCTTCTCCTTCCCCTGCTATCTCCTGTGATTTTTGATTGGAGAGGGAGGTAGACTGGTATTAGGAAAGGCTAAACAGAGAAGGGGCAGGAATGGACTGAGAAGAGGACTGCCTTCTCTGGTCCAGCTGGGCAGTTACTTGGGTACCTGGGTGTATTTTTTCACTGTTGGTGGTCTCCTTGGCATAGCAAGATGACCAGGAAGAAATCAGTCCTGGTCTTGCAGAGCAGCAGTGGGACAAGAAGCTTCCCGAACCGTTGTCTTGGAGAAGTGATGAAGAAGATGAAGACAGTGATTTTGGTGAGGAGCAGCGAGATTGCTACCTAAAGGTACTTTGGTGAAGAATTGAAGGGAACATTACAGTGATGAGTTGAGGTTCATATTGCAGCTAGGTAAACTAAACTCTGGTAACTCGTTTATATTCTAAATACTCACTAGCCAGCTCCATCTAGTAAAGACACCTAAATTGCTCAGTTTGGGGATTGGTAAGTAGAAAAGGAACTAAGAGTTGAGAAATCAGAAAGAGGAAGACCAGGGGGGTCCCTGTCACTGCTATCTTGTGAAATCTACAGGCACATTCTTGTTCACCCATCCTCGTACCTACTCCCCATGAGGCAGTATTTTTTTTTTTTTGCCAAGTGACATTCAGAATTTCTCTCTCTTTACATTTAGATATTACTAGTTTGAAGATAAGGCAGTGATCTTGCTTGCACACTCCAGAGGGGCTCAAATCAACCTTCAATTTTGGGTGGGTGCAGTGAGAACCTCCCGGGCCACAAAGTTCCCCATTACTGTGCCCATCTTTCCCCAAAGTGCTAGTGCATGGTGAAGTCCTATGGGGGAGACAGAAAGTGGGACCTGGGAAGGACTGAGATGATCTCGGTAGTCTGACCTGATGGCCTTTTGTCACACTCGAGTGACTGTTGAGTCCAGGCTTTAAACCCCAGAGGGCCCAGCCTCAGAACCAGTTGTTTGCTTTGATGACAGAATGTCATAATTGTCATTCAGTTATAAAAATTGCTTCTAGGGACTGGTTAGTGAACACAGCCTCAAATATTATAAAAGTGAAAGATTGCAGTAAAGAACACATTTCAGAATCAGTTGTTTTTAACAGAGATTATCTGCATGACGAGTATTCTCCTTTTATATAGTGTTAGTGGGAGGGGCCATCTTTTCAAGTTACTCTTTTTTTTCCAAATAAAGTCCTTGTCAGCTTGCTTCACTTCTTCTGTCCCTTGTTGGAGCCTTCATTTTCTGCTTTTGTACTCTCAGGTGAGCCAGTCCAAGGAGCACCAGCAGTTCATCACCTTCCTACAGAGACTGCTTGGGCCTTTACTGGAGGCCTACAGCTCTGCCGCCATCTTTGTCCACAACTTCAGTGGTCCTGTTCCGGAGCCTGAATATCTGCAAAAGCTGCACAAATACCTAATCGACCGAACCGAAAGAAATGTTGCAGTATATGGTATGTTAAATCCCTATTTCAACTTCTTTTAAAAATTAAAAAAAATTCATTGGTGCATTATAGTTATGCATAATAGTGCAATTCACTGTTCTATATTCATTATATGCACACATGTGATTCGTTCAATTTCATTCTCCCATACTTCCCCCCCGCCCCCCGGTCAACCCCTGGTCCCTTTTCTCTACTGGTTTCCCTTGTAATTTCATGAAAACCACCCTTCTACCCAACACACTTCTTTTTTTCTCTCTACCTTTCACATAAGAGAGAAAACATATGACCCTAGACTTTATCAGTTTGGCGTATTTCGTTTAAAATAATGCTTTCAAGTACCATTCATTTTCCTGCAAATGATATAATTTCATTCTTTGTGGTTGAATAAAATTTCTTTATGGATATATAGCACATTTTCTTTTTCCACTCATGTGTTGACAGATGCCTGGGCTGGTTCCATAGTTAGGCTGTTGTGAGTTGTGCTGCTGTAAGCATGGATACGCATGCATCCCTATGATATGATATTTTAATTCTTTAGGATAACTCTGAGGAGTGGGATAGCTGGATCATGTGGTGCCATTCCTTTTGATAAAATGCCATATTGATTTTCACAGTGGTTGTATGAATTTATAATCTCACTAATAGTGTTTCTTTTTCCCCACATTTTCTCCAGCATTTATTATTGTCCAATTTTTATTATTGTTTTATTATTTTTTAAATATTTTTTTATTTGTAGATGGACACAATACATTTATTTTATTTATTTTTATGCGGTGCCGAGGATCGAACCCAGTGCCTGATACGTGTTGGGCAAGTGCTCTACCTGAGAGCCACAACTATAGCTCCTTCTTGGCATTCTTGACAGCTGCCATACTGCAGCCATTGATGAAATGAGAGTGAAATGAAATCTTGGTGTAGTTTTGATTTGCATTTCCCTGATCGATGTTGGACAATTTTCATATATTCTTTGACTGTTTGTAAAACTTTTAAAATTTTTATAGAAATCTGCTTATTGTAGGAAATTGGAAAAATATAAAATTATCCTGACCTGTAACTCAATAGATTATTACAATTATTTTCTTTGGTATGTCATGTAAGTTAGATGATGCAATAATGTACTCTTAAATCTGGCTTTTTTTCACTCAACATTTGTGAGTGTCATACATGTTATATGTAGTTTGACTTATTGTCATGAAATGTTCCATTATTTACCATATTTTATTCATTCTACTGTTGAAAGATATTTGCATCATTTGCAGTTTAGAGCTACTTTGTATAGTGTTGCTGTGAACATGTTTGAATGTCATTTGGGGGAGCATCTATGATCATATATATGACATACAAACAGGAATAGAATTGCTTGGTCACAGGCCATGGGTATATGTTCAGCTTTAGTAGATACTGCCAGACAGTTTCTAAGTGTTGTACCAACTTTCCTTCCTCCCAGTAGCGTGTGTTTCAGTTGTTCCATGTCCTGCAGCCCTTGGGGTTGTCACATCATCTCTCTTTTTTTTTTTTTAATTTTCTAATATTTATTTTTTGTAGTTATAGATGGACAGAATGCCTTTATTTTATTTTATTTTTTATGTGGTGCTAAGGATCTAACCCAGTGCCTCACACGTGCTAGGCAAGTGCTCTGCCACTGAGCCACAACCCCCGCCCTCATCTCTTATATCTATGATAGGTGTGGATGGGGTAGGGGTAGCACTTCATATGGTTACAGTTTGGAACTGAAACTACTTAGAATCAAGTTTTAGAGCCAAAAGGTATCCAGAGATAATCTCATTCAATCACCTCACTTTATGAATGAGGAAACTACCCAGGATCATACAGCTAGTCAGTTAATGGACAATCTTGGGTTTAGAATTCTTGCTTTCTGATCTGTAGCCTGTGCTCCCTCTGGCTGCACAGGTGTGTAGGAACCATCTATGCAGCACTGTGTAGTTTACAGGAATTCTCACACATTATCTTGTTTGAGTCTCACAGAGACCCTGCAAAATGGATACTTTAGGTATTGTCCGTCCTTCCTTCTCTTTTCTCCCTCCCCGACCCTTTTTCCCTAATAGATGATAGAATGGGTTTAAAGAGACCACAGATCATCTGGGAGACCTCACTGTTGCCAGTGGCAGAAGCGGAGCTGGCCGGTCTGCGGCTTGCTGTGGCCCTCCCTCTGCCCCCACTGCTTTCTTACTGCTGGCCTTGGGGCTTTATGTCCACTAGATCTAAACCCTGACAGGGTCTTATTGTTTCTCTACAGCTGAGAGTGCCACCTACTGTCTTGTGAAGAATGCTGTGAAAATGTTTAAGGATATTGGGGTAGGTATCCATGTTTATAAAAGCTGTGTTGACATTGGCTCTCAAGATCTAGTCTGTTTGCACTATTTGTATTGGGAGCGTGGCCCCAAGAACAGCTGCTTCTGCTGGGTTGACTGGGGAGGCATTTCTGGGGATGAGTGCTGGGGAGGGACATGGCGACAGTGAGACCCATCAGTACAGATTTATTTGCATGTCCCAGAATTGTGTTGGTTTCATATTCATTCCCAAACTGTTTACATATAAAGATATCAGAGCGTTTCAAGATGCTCCTGTGAGCTCAGCCATTCATTTAATTCCACATGGCTCTCAGTTTTTTCCTTGTGTTTTTGCTGGTCTTGCTACAAGTCTTCTCAGGCTTTCCCTTGGTCTCATGTGGAACATGAACTCCAGGGGCATCAAGTGTCTCTTTGTAAGGGACGGTGTGTGACTTTGTTCTGGCTTCAGTCATAGTGTATGATGCACTGGTTGAACTGTGTCCCCAGCCTCCTGCCTCATGTGCACCTGCACATCCTCATTTATTTAAATCGGGACGTGGTTTTAGGTGCCTTTGCTGCCCTTTGGGGTCTAGAACACAGGTCAGGGTTGGTGACAGATATGCCCTCCTTTGCCTTTAATTGAATCTACACTTTCTCTTCAGGTTTTCAAAGAGACCAAGCAGAAGAGAGTATCTATTTTAGAACTGAGCAGCACTTTCCTACCTCAATGCAACCGGCAAAAACTCCTAGAATATATCCTGAGTTTTGTGGTGCTGTAGGTAACTTATGGCACCTCTGGCAAGTGAAGGGCTGGAGATGAGTCCCTTGCAGGCTCCAGCATTTGTCCTGAGAGTTGCAGGTGCCGTCGCGTGGCCGGGCCTGCCCTGCCCTGAGGTGACCTGGAAGACAAGTGCCTTCTCCCCTTTGTGGACCTGTGATCTTCCCAACTGTTAGACACAGCGGCCTATGGATAACACTCGGGGGGCCCTCAGCCTCTGTTGCAACTCATAATCAGTAGATTACTAGATGAAATCTCAATAAATTATTTTGGAGTTTATTAAAGATTTACATTTTAAGTACAACTTTTAAGGACTAATTACTGTGATGGAAACAGAAATGTAGTTGTATTCTAGAACTAAATGTTGTATAGTATACATAAATAGTGGAGTAATTCATTCGTATATTTTCTGATTAATCGTTAATGCTTCCCTTAAAAATAATTGTCATCCATTCACTCTTTTCGGTTTTACCTTTGTCAGTAGTAACTAAATTTGAAACGGGAGCCCTTTCATCCCAAGTGCTTTACAGATGAGTGGGCTGAGGTACATCATACCCAGATATCACTGTGCTGTCCTCTGAGGTCAGATTTAGAAAACGTGTTAAGAGCTACATGAAAACAGACAATATTAGTTTAGGTCAGGAACTGAGATAATGCGATCAAATAGCCAACATCAGGAATTAAATTTAGCTGGCAAAATACAAGGTAAACCTGGCCAGAAAACTGGCACTGAAAACTTGTGCTCACATAAAAAAGTGCCATTGAATTTCAAATGACCAGCAAGTATTTAAAAACTTCTCCTGTTTTATGTCTGCACCCCTTCCCACCTCTCACAGGTACAGCTGTTTCTTCTAAAATCTCCAGCCAAATAGCACCTGCACTGAGTTGATTAGCTCATCCTGATGGGCTCTGTTAGTGCATGCTCTGGCTGCAGACTCCCGACCCAGGGCTTTCATGTATGCACACAGGTCGGTGGGTGGCTGGTACTTACTCGAGTTTGCAGTGTTTGAACTGTGCAGTATCTGCATGTCCCTACTTCTAGGTGAATAGCATTTATGGATTTTTACCTTTGAGAAAAAAACATGGTTTATATGCCTAAACCCTCTCATGCCTCATAGAGGCAAATAATTAATTATGAAAAATTGTCTGTTTATAATGGGTAGGTGCCTTTTTGTGAGCAGGGAGCATAATTAATTGTGATAATTATGGTGATTTCTTAAAGATCATGTAATGTTAAAAATTTTCCTAACCATTTATTGTCCCTTATTTCCATGATATTATGAAACTGAGTTTTTTCTGATGAGTGTTGCATAGATTCTTTGAATTTAGTATAAAAGTACTGCAAATTAAGTTTGTACTTTCCTGAACTTGGATTTTAAACACTAATAGTATTTCATGAGTATGTGTGCATTGGGAGAGGGAGGGGTATTGGTGGATAGTTCACATTCTGTGAAATAATCTTGTTTGAGAGTCAGCAATAATGCTAATGCTGTGTGATCTTTCACCATTCTTCAATTCTGTACATAAATATATCTCTCCTTTATCTTGTAGAAACTCACGTACCATTAAGTCAGTCACTATAGCAACTGTGTGGCATGAGATGCCACCTTTTCACCTTCAATTTACTGAGTAGAATAGAGGAACACTTCTGGCTGCACTTGGGGACTACCCAGGGAATCTGTTCATTCCCTTGGATGGTCCTTCTCTGGGGAATCAAACACTTCACAAGTCTCTTCTTTTCCTATCCTCTAAATTGTAATTCAAGGATCATTCAACTTCTCTGTTAGTTGGCTGGAAAGTCCAGGCGGAGACTGGCTTTCCAGTGGATATTGCTGCTCTGCCTGTCACTTTTGCAAAGAGCTGCTGCTTTACCAGCTTGAGCAGAGAAACTATGGCTTCTCTTGCTTTATTTTCCCTTTTGGTTGGTTTGTTTTCAAGAAATTTGATCAGATGCTTTGGGGAATGCAATTTGCTAGCTCTCTTGCCACTTAACTCACTGTGAGGATAAACATGCATGCTTTTATAATTAACTGGTGCTTTGAAAACCTTTTTTAAGGAAGAAAAATCTCAACCAAAGTTATGCTCATCCAGAGAAGCTGACCCTTAAGTTAATTTTAGCACAGCTCATTCTTTAGTGCCTCATTACTGGGGAAAAAAGATCACAATAAGGCTTCCAGATAGCTCTGTTTTGCTAATAGACACGTTCTCATTGTTTTCCAACAGCGGATGGCTTCCAAGTAAGGTTAAACCAACTAGGTGCTTGTAAATAATTTATTACAGTTTACTGTATTGCATTTCTGTGAAACTGAAATGCATGCCCTTCAGGGGAAGACTGTGAGTCAAGTTTAAAAACAAATAACCCAGTAACAAGCAATATGAAACTGCACCCTATTTTTAAAAAAATAAGAAATTCAGAAGAAAGGAAGGAATTTGCACTGTCTTAAAATTCTAACAAAATGACAAAAATGTGTGTAAAAAACTAGGAACTGAGAAGGCACTGCATCTTCTTCTTCAGACCTCTAAGTCTCACGGAGTCACGAGGGTGAGTAAAGAAAATATGTCCTAGGATGGCAGCGAATGGAAGCTCCGACTGTGGAGTTTCCTGCAACCTGGAGGGGCGAGGGCAGTGCCCATAGAGTTCCTTGTCTTCTGAGGACCCTGGGAGATGTGCCTTGGTGTTTTTTAGCAAGTGTTGCTGGCAAACTGTTCGATCGTGGAAACTTGTGCTGCACCTGAGCACGGTAAGGGCTTGGCCCCCAGCAGTCTGTTGAACCTGGCATTTCCCAAACTCTTGACCTCAGGACCTTTTCCCCCTCTGGGACACCTCTGAACCTCTCACTAGTATCCTATGGAAAACATTTGGGAAGACACTACGTTAGGCAGTTCTATAAGGAGACAAAACACTGACGAACAGATGGCACCGAGGCCGAATTCGCATGCATTTTGTACCACCAAATGTTGAGATGAATGATGGGTATTTCCTCCCCTGGAAAGAATAAGCACAGAAAAATTGTAACATAGGTGGCCAGAGCTCTTTCCTTTGATGGGAAGATGAACTGTCAATGACTCTGGCTTTTTTACTGAAAGTAGCAGAATTAATACAAGGATTAATTGTGGGAAATGATCAAGGTTTTAATTCAGATCTAGAAGAAAACATCGCACAACTGAATGCAGATTTTTATCCGTAGATAGTTCCAGTATTTAGAAATGTAGAACCTATTGAGGTTTATAAGACTTACTATGGGATGTAAATCTGTTTTTTAAAATACTCTTTTTAGGAACCTAGAGTTGCCACCTGGCATTTTAGTTTAATACGAACTAATGATTGCTTTGAAAGAGACTCTTCACTTTATTTCTAAACAGTTAAAGGGCTAAATGTCTTGATGGAGGGGTTAAAGTATTGCCTGTTGTACAAAGAAATGCTAGATTGTTGTAAAAAGAATTGCTATAAAGTATTGTAAAATAATGCTGAGTGATTTTGTGAGTGAAACTTGGACATGTTGATTGATTGTTATGCCTGATAATGTATTGTGAGAAGCACAGAAATGTAGTTTTGTTTTAATAAACCAAAAAAAATGAACCTTATTTTTGATGTCTTGGCTTTGTAGTTAAACGTTCCCTAGGCAATTCATTATACACATTCTTCTTGTTTGACTTTACATAAAACTTTATTAATGTTTACAGATCTCATCTGACATAAATTTATGAGCCCACAGTTCATGATTTTATTAACCAAGATCTCTTCACATCTGATCGACACTTGGAAATAGAGATATCTACCTCTTCTTAGCTGTGGCTTACCTTTTATTTGGTAAATTTCACGTCATATATTTTTTGGGTTTCTACAAAGATTCTATTAAGCTTGGTGCTTCTTGTCATAAGTTCATAAAAATCACACTGAAGTGTTTTTCTCACTAGTTTATAATTAGTTGGTGAAAATATTTTTTTTTTTTTTGACAAATAAGAAAAGTATTTCTTTGATCATAGCACAGATGTTTTGTGGATCCTTTGAAAACACAGCTTCTCCTTAAGTATATTCTCTGAAAATGGTGGTGAACATATGCCTGATGGTGGTGTTCCTGCCCTTTGGTGTGTGCCCAGCTATGGAATGGACTAATGCCCAAGGCCACCTCTCTAGCCAGCCCTTGGCTCTGACTTTGTCTTACCCCTTCTCATTTCCTGTGTAATGCTGCTGCTGTGACTGCCCTCACTCTTTGGTGGTCATTCTCTCCTTGGTATTAGCAACTCTTGGCTGCTACCATAAGTTACCTTTTCATAAATAAATTCTTTTAACTTTTATAGCCTCATGGATATTAATTTTGAAGCCGAATCTCTGGATGCTTAGCTTATTTTAGTCCTCACTTAGTCTCTTTTTTAAACCTTTGTCATCTTCTACATGCCTCACTAATAAGTTGCTAACATACCTTTTGGACAAACCAGGTGTGTCTTTGCAGTTTCTGTCCATGACATTTCTAATGTGGATACAGCTTCTTTAGTTTTCGTGTTCCCTGTTATCCTCCCTCTGTCTACCCTTTGGACTGTGACTTCTCTCCTTTAGATTCTTCTTGCCTCCCTTCCCTCGCCAGGCAATCTTAGTGTTATTGCCAGCCTGCTGACATTTTTTTTTTTTTTTTGAATTTCAGTTTTATCTAAAAATACCCAACTTTTGCTTATTGGTGTAACAATCTATGTGGATCAAGTCTATTGCCATAAGTTTCCAGGTCATTTCTTTCTTGCCAGCTGTCAGCTCATGCCTTTTGGCCTAGAAAATAGAGGCAAGAAGGAGCAAGTCCAAGATACCAGGAGATTGAAGGCAATCCACAGGGGAGAAAAGGTTGACCTCGTCATCTGACTTAAGTATGATTAGAGACAGGTAAGTCTTTGATGAGGGCCACTGGGCGATGTTCAGCCAGGCCATGGCAGCAGTCAACCTTTGATGTCTGACTCATTGCCACGTCAAAGTTAAGGTTGAGACAAGTCAGAGTTGGCCACTATCAGTGGGCTTGGTGCCAGTGTAAGAGCTACCTATGATGTGATGAAATGATTAGAACCAACTCAATCTCCAACTCAGGAGAAGACACAAGAAAGGCTCAGGAAAATAAAGTTCTTTTCACTCACACATGCTAGAGACAGGGGGCACAGACATACCACGTGGGGTCACGTGGAAAGGCACCAGGGTGGCCTGCGGACAGAAGACGAGAGCAAGAAGTAGCTTTAGACCTGGGCCTTTATTGGGGTTTCTGTGGGCAAGGCAGAGTAAACAGATCAGGATTTCAGTT